TATTACGACAACCACGGAATCCGGCCTCGAGGCAAACAACGAATTACCGCTAGACGAAAACTACCCCCGAATAACGTCACAACAGCTGCCGGTGACAGCGAGCGGACAGCAGCCTCTCTACGAAGACAATTTCGACGTTGCGCCGCAATTCGTGCCAAATCAAAACAGACCGACACAATTTTACGAGGAAAATAGCGAAAACGTAAGTAAATTCTTTCGAGATCGCGTTGTGAAAGAATAAATACTAGATATAATAAAGATGTTACGAATAGAAAGAAAGAAACTGTTTTCTCACTTGTAATTTAGAATATCGTTTCCTTACTTTAAATGTAACACAACGAGAAAAATAGTTTTCTAAAAAAAGGAAAAAATTATTTTGTAACTTGACAAAAAATTACTGACTTAATATGATCAAATATTGTTTTTGTTTTACAATCCTTTTTAGATTATGATAATTTTGGACAATTTCTTTTAAAAATTATACTTTTTTAGTAGTAACAATTAAAAATCATACTTTTTGATTTTCTACGAAATTAAGATAGTTTACTTTTGATAATTGTATAATATTTACTCTCTTAATTTAATAATGGTAATAATTCGAAAATAACGTTTTTTGAATTATATCACTTTTAAAGTAAAAGGAACAATTATGAAAGCGTGTTAAACTATATAAATATTTGACTAAATTATTGTTACTAATATTTTTCTACGAGATATATCACTGTAAAAAGAGAAATGTTTAAAACTAAAATATCTTTAAGTGTTTAAAAAATGGAGACAAGAATAAAACATTTTAATATCTTAAAATTAAACACTTCTTTTTTCAGTGATCTCATTCCTTTAACTTGCTTAAATATAATGTGTATGTTTCTAGTATCCGCCTCAAGAATTTGTTCTAAACTTCGGCAATCTGCCGGAACAAGTATCGCAACGTGAAGAATACGATCAGACCCAGCTGGCTAGTATTTCACCGAAGAAGTATAGCCACTCAAATCGTCCGGATGCGAACGCGCAGTCCACCGGTGACATTTACGGCGCCGAAAGTCAGTGGTCCACGAAGCTGTCGAAGACATCGTTCCAGCCGAGCTTCGCTTCGAATCGCGTGGCTGACGAATCGAAAAGAGGCCGAAGCAGAACCGATAATGATCAGGAGAATAAAAACGCGCCTGAGATTATTACGGCTGGACCAGAGGTGTCATCGGTAACGATGGTCGTTTCCTCGGACTATCAGAAACATCTAAACGATGCTGACAGTATGGACACAATGATGGATGGTTTCGGATGGAAAACGAACGCGCAGGATCACACGGAGAAATTGAACGCTACGACGACAGTGACGAATTTAGTGACAACAGTACTTCAGGATCAATCTCAAAGCGATAAGGAAACGTTGCCAGAATCGCAGGATTGGAGCGATCAAAATGAAAACTTTACGAAACAGATGGATGACAACGCGAGAGTGATAAAACCTGATTCTCTTACCGGTAGAAAGGTAAAATGTTCTAAAATATTCTAAAATAAAAGTATAGAGCATTCTAATATTTTTGCAAAAAATATTAAAAATAATTAACGTTGTCACACAAATAACATGTAAACAATACTGAATTCGAATGTAGCATTAAAAGGACTAATTGTATCCTGGTAAATTGAATTAATTTTCACAGCTTCTAATATGGTGAACAAAAGATGTTACAAATATAAGGTTCAATAGTAGATAGTTTTAGAGCTATGATGTATCAAGATGTAAAACTTGTGCTCACAGAGCACTTTTAATATACCATAGTTCAAAACATTATTGAACCTTTTATCTATGACATCTCTTCTTCACCACATTACAAGCTTATATTTGAAAAATATTAATTCATTTCATCAGGATCCAATATCCATATAATTAGTGCGGGGTCCTTTAAATTATCTGAGAACTGAGAGCCTTTCTTGTTCTATTCTATTCTGCAGGAGACAATGCAGAATAAATAAAAAATTTATTTTTCAGACCCGGAAAAGAAAAGTTCGCGTGCGCGTGAGACCTCTCGTGGACGATTTCGTCACCGCCGAATCTCAGCACTATAATTCTGCGGTGAATAGTCTGGTTCAAGATCAATACAAGTACAATCCGATTCACGACTCGCGGTTCACCACCGCTCAGCCGATTGCGACGACCGTTACCATAAGTAGCACGACAGCCGCAGAATCGACCAAGAAATCGCTTCTCCAGGATTTTCTGGAAGAGATGTTGAAGAATGATGAAGTCTCCATTCCGACTCGTATCACTTCGATTACTACCGAAATACCCGATTGGACATCGACACCAATGACGACTCCGTACGTTTTTTCTGATGATGGTCAAGTTACAACCTTAAAAGAGAATTACACACCGATCGATACGACGCTGATAGCGAATATTGATGAAGAACGCGTTACAACGGTAACTGAAAATTTAAACGAATCAAAAGATGAGTCCTACGAAGCGACAACTGAAGCGCAAAAAGAAGTTAAGCCAAAAACATATAAGAATTCACAGGAAGACAAAAGCGAAAATAATTTGGAAAACGTCGAAATATTTAATCAAAGATATAATCTACCATCAAATTATCCCGATGGAATAGGAATCTCGAAGAAAAACGAGGATAGCACAACGAAACTGGCTGGCTTTTCAAAGGATGATAAAAAATTAAGTGCCATCGGTAAAGAGAAGGAACATATAATGACGTTAAAGAGGCAAGAAAACGTCGAAGATAACGAGGCGCACCCGAAGAATCATAAGACCGAGTGGAGCGAAGTAAGATACCCGTCGGATTTCGATAGGTCACAAACTACCATGAATTCATATACCACGACGCCTATCCCAGGCACCGTTACGCGAAACGAGGGCGAGAGCACTGTGAGAACACTCTCCGACTACGTGAAGGCTATCTTCGACAGTATGAAAAATGCCGAGGAAAATGAGGAGATCGCGAAAGTGATCGAAGCTAAAAGTGAGACAGATAATTATGACACGAATAGTACTGCTTTGGCCCACGCGCCGAGTGTGAAAGAAAGTAAAGAGATCGATCGGAAAGCCGCCACGACTAACTCTCCACAGGATATTTATGCGACGCAACGTGTTGAGGTTGAAGAGAATGAGATAAAACCTAAAGAAATACAAGAGACGACGACGAAGGAGAGCGCTATTAATTCCGAAACGACCACGTCGATCCCAGAAACGACCACGAACACGGTGATACTGTCCGAGGAGACCTTAATAACAGAACCTTCCACGACGACCACGAAAACATCGAGTAGACAAATGGGTAACATATTTAGGACGAACTCTACGATGCTGGGCAAGGTCCTAAAAACCTCGACCACAACGAAAGTGTCTCACATGACAGAGATTTGTTATAGGGGTCGATGTGTAATGACGAGGCCTAAGATGGATGATGCTATGGTGAGATGAGGGAAATTCGATAATTCGGTTGTGGGATTATTCTTAGCACTTTCCTGTCCGATCGTTAAAAGATAAACTGTAAATGGCAAGCAGAAGTTTCGGGAATCGTTTATTGAGTATCTATTATTGTCAAAAAACACAGTAAAAGATATTGAATAATTTAGCAACATTTTCTGTATCAATATGTTTGCAAATGGTAATCTTTACGTCTTATAGGTATAATGATTTTAAATAGATCTGAAGGTTCTGGAGAACCAAGTAAAGAACTGAAAATTGAATAATTCAATTGAACTTTACCGGACAGAAAAGTGTTAATTTTCGCACTTTTTACATAATTTTTATTTATTGATAGAGATATATCGTATTAACAAATCGAATTGTCAAAAGTCGTCATGTTCATCAATGCCCAAAACTACAATTATGTCTTCATGTTTTCTCAGATTGCTTTTCGTACATAGAAATACACAAAATCTTTTAATTACACATCAAATCATGAACAAAAAATCTCATTTTAAGTCACAAAAGGTAAATTAGTAAATTAATTGACCTAAAATATCAGCTAAATTATACGGCGCAATAGTAGAATAGTGAATTGATCACCAAGTTTTACACATAAGGAATGATCAATATTCTCTTCTCCAAGCCTTCATTTAGAGAAGATATTTTATTGCCGGAAAATATTTTATCGTTCAAGATGTCGCGGCAAATTATATGTGTCGGAGAGTTAAAAGCAAAATACCAACGTGATATCGGTAGTGAAAAGAGATGTCCTCTTGTGGGAAATTCTGCGTCGCCGGCGGCAAATCGATCGTCTGTCGCGACGTGTGCTTATAAAAAGGGCGCCGAGCGTGTGCCGGCGTCCTTCCAGGGAGATCGAAGCGCGGAAGCTCGACTTGCGCGAGTAATGTGTAGGGAGCTAAGTCTATTTAATTTAACTACATACTCGTGTAGTATACGTGTAAGTTAAGCGTGTGAGTATTTTAATAAAGATACGAAAACGCAAGAAAACAAAAGCATTTTTTTTGCTCCTTCCTCATTTTCCTAAGCAATCCGAGTGTAAGATATTTTAGCCCTTTTACTTAGGAATCTTCATCCATTTTAAAAAAAAAGGAGAGATATAAATGTTTTATAAATTTCTTTAAGTACAGATATATTGGAAATTTTTTTTTCGTAAAGTGAATTTATAAGGTGAATTAATTTAAAGATTTAGATATAGATTTTACGTTGCCGTTCCAGTAACTTTTCCTTACTCTTAAAACGAGTTTCATCTCGCGCCTCGTCTAAAACCAATCCTTATATCGCCATCGATCGGCAAAGTTCAACCTCCCTCGTATAGATGGTGCTACGTCACGGAGGGGGTAGTAGTATTCCGACACCGGAAATACGATGGGGGGGGATGCTTGTAGGGATCTCACCCCTCGTCGTGATCGTGCAAGCGAACGGCTAGGTGGCACGATAGGCGGTGAAGGGTGAGGAGTGACGAGGCCATGAAGAGGGGTGGGTGCAACGAAATCGTGGGTATGAGGGTGAAGCAAAGAGGGAGAGGGTGGACGAGAACGACGTAGTGAGAGAAGTCACAGTCCAGTTGAGGCGCAAGGGTCCTCCGGCTAAGGACTACGGTCCCTGGCAGTCCGGGACATTATGCCAGGCGGCGAGGGGTCCCCGATCAATCTCCTCGACCACCATCATCGCGCGTCGACTGCCGCCACCACGTCCACGACGAACGAGTGCGCAAACGGCGACGATGTTAGGACCGCGTCATCGGCGACTAGCACCGGCACGACCTTCAGCGCGATGACGAGCGCCCTAGCGGGCGACGGTCTCCGTCGCAGAAAGGTCATACACGCGGCCCGAGAGACCCTTGATAAGGGTGAGTCAGGCGCCACTTTTTCGTCCCTTCGCGATATCATCGCGTTCCTCGTATCATCATCACTTACGAAACCTCGCGCAACCAATCATTGCTGCGGATACCTAGTCCTGAATTCCTTTTGACTTTCTGGTGCACGGATATCAGGATCGATCTTCCTTCCCCATAATGCAGCCTGATAAGTGGAACATTCTCCGTTCGTGGCCTCGTTTAATGAAGTTAATCGTAGGAAAGTAAAAATACCAATGTATTAATATCCAAGCGGAACAACAAATCACGGTAATGACAAAATAAATCGTAAATTGAAAAGTGACTTTTTAGTGATCGTTTTGGAGTTATTTTGATGTCACGATGGTTCGTGTTCTACTTGAATACCGATTTACAAGTTATGATACCATGTCTCTCGATCGCGTATGCATGTCGCATCCAATATTGCAATCAGGTTAAGAGATAGATATCATAGGCAAATTTAAATTCTACAGATCGAATCACTTGCTGCACTGAATTTATTATTAATCTCTCCTACAAAAGTACCCAGACATTTCAGAATACGAACGTTTTTACGTGTAGGTATATTAATATTCATTGTACGTATTCTAATTTGACTCATACGTTGACGTAATTATTAACGTTAATTATTAAGCAACACGTAAACATACGTTCATGCGATTACTTTCACATCTTTACGTTTTAATGGTTCCATGGATATATTTGGTATGCTAGATTCATTCTATTGATGTATCTACGAACATGACGAGACTCTAAATAATACATAAATTTTTGAAGGAGATGAATTCATGCGGTTTCCGGCAATACAACAAAATGACATCGCGTTCGATTTACGATGATAAATATCTTTAAAAAAAAAACATATTTTATGTTATGTTAATTCCTTTTGATGACCTCGATATTTCTAGACCGCCATGTTGCAGTTGCACTTTCGAAATGGTTGCTGTTATGGCATTTATGCGGGTTGATATAAATATACAGCAGATACATTGAGATCCTTTCGCGTGATAAAACATGAAATAGAAATTATTTCATGTTTAATCGATAGGATCTTCTTCCCAATAACATATCTGTCACGAAATTTGAATTTTCTGTTATGCATTACACGTGTATGACGGTAAATCAATGTCAAATATAAAATTGTTATACTTTTAATCAAGAACAAATTGAAAAATATTTTTTTTTAATGATGGAAGACTTCATAATATAAAATTTTTAAGCCTTTCATAAGCAATTGACTTATCTAATATGGAAGGTCAGTCTTGTATTATAAAAATAGCTGCAATCCACGAAATGCTGCACTTCTGTGGCTAAATCTCACTTCTATGTTTTGCCCGTTTTAACATTCGACATACTTTATGCGCGCACCGGAGTTACGTAAGAATCCTTCGCACGTGGGCTGAATGCAGTATGTGTTATATATATGTGTGTTTAATAAAAATAGTTCACTAGATAATATCTACAAAACAATTGGTACATAATTCAATTATATATAATATAATATTAATAATTTGAAAATTCAAATTAAATATATATATATATATTTGATTTAAAAAATTACTAACGTTTAAATTAATTACCACTAAATTATTAGTTTACATAGAAATAAATTCGGAAATTGCGTGCAAAGCAAAAAGAAATTGTGACGTCACACAAATTGGATAAATATAAAAATACACCCATTCTTCAACTTACATAACGAATTGTTTTTGTGTTTTTTTTATTTTTGTATGTAGTACTCTCTAAATCTGAATCAGTAGATAATCACTGATATCAGTGCCAAATATGTCACTGGTAATCAGTAAATTAAATGTGAGATCCCTAATTCAACTAATCGTTATTATATGATCTAACTTTTAATCTTGTTTTAGTGCTTAAATTCAATGATTACTGTATTGAAAGATCGAAATTAATGTGCAAATATCAGTATTTTAGTTATATAATGCTCTTCCTTTTTTAATTGAACTTCACTGATTATCAGTGCCAAGAATGCCACTGAGTAATTAGTGACTATCCACTGATTCAGATTTAGAGAGTAAAGATGTCTTGGATATTTATTTACAAACACTCACGAATATCTTTAATCAAATTTAATTATATTACAGAAATTAAATTTGCTTAAAAAAATTCTCTACCTCCGGAAATGTTTAAGTTGGCATTGAAAACATTTACAATATTATCTCTTGGATACGGATAAATGTCAAAGTTACGTAACGTACAATTTTACGATAGAATGAAGATCATTAATTTAGCTACTTTAACAACCGCGAAATTTTCGGCTTTATCAGAATCCCAAGAACGTTTTATTAACAAATTTGATTAGTACAAAATTCACATGAGACATTCGTTAACCTGAGTTCATTTGACACGTGGCTCGAAATTTGCCTAATATAAAAGAATGAATTACATTCTGCTTAGTTTTATATACATATTTTTTAATTTTTTCAATATTATTTAATTTAAATATATCATTAATTAATTTAAATATATCTTAAATAAACTTAAATCTCGACGCGGTTTAATTAATTTCAATTCAAAGGAAAATTTTAGATGGGATAAATTTCTATACTGCGTTCTTCGAGTTGTCTAATTTCGGATATATTAAAAGGAGATAACTTCGGCAATGACAAAGTTAAAAAAGTTTGAAGAATCGCCGGAGTTCTTAGAAAGTCCAACTCTCAAAAGACATAAAGCGAAGAAGAACGCTTAGCATTTGTTAATGCTGATCCCAATCTGCTGCTTGAATACCACTACTCGACCTGTTTTTGTGTCACATCACAATTGCGCATTGAATCGAATGATGTGACACACTGTGCATTACTTGCATTGTGTATTATTTACTGATTGCCGATTTGAAACAACGTACGTGGGTTTAAAATGACGAAACGGTGTCACGACTTCAATGCAAATTTCAGTGAATATAGTTTTATTTGATATCCGCGGTTACAAAGAATTTGTAACAATAGATAAAAATCTCATTATTCGAGATGCGTTACTTTTTTATTTACCTATAAATGATTATCTAACGAATTCTTTTATATTAACTTTTTTAAAATTTAATTGAGATCTGTATTATATAATACAAGATCCTACTTTTTAACTTTTCTTAATCTTATACATTTTTTTTCGATGTTATAAATTTCTTCTTACTATTCTGAAAAACTTCATGAAAGAGGAAATTTTTGATAGACAACTATAAGTTAAATCATCCCTATCCGTAAAAGAAGTAAAGAAGAAGTTTATATAGCGTATATTCTGTTGAAGTATACGATAACTACACCGTTAAGAATATTGCAAAAAGAATTTATAGCTTGTATAATATATTTTGAATAAGAAAATTATAATATATATCGTAATGTAATCGACTTTTATTTGGCTTCATTAATTATGATATAATACGATCGTAAAATGCTTTAATGCAAAATGATATTAATATGGTTTAATAGAGAAATATGCTTCTTTCGCGTTTTTTTTTTGGAAAAACTTTAATTAAAGCCTCGTTACTTTGATAAAATTACGTTATATAATTATTGCATTAATATTTCATTATAAAAAATTTTATGACATTTTAAATTAGCTTCATTTTGCATTCTAATTTCTTTACGTCAAATCTTTATATAATCTTAACTATTTTTGCTTTAATAAAAACTTTATTTTATTTTTTAAAAAAGAAAAGAGCGTACAAAACAAGCCAAATGCAGATGGAACGTAATAAATTTAATACAAAATTAAAAAAGATAATATGAAGAATATATAATTCTATTTAGATTATTTTTAATTTTTCTAAAAAAAGATTTTAACTTTTAAATTGAAAATATGTGTATAAAAATGAAGGATAAAATTTTTAACATGAAGATTTATGGATATTCAAGGCGACTTTAATATAAGAACGGTAACTAGGTTAACTATCTAATATGACAGAGAAAGATATCTAAAGATATCTAAAGATAATTCTATTCTATTCATATGTTTTAACATAATTTTATTGCAACTATTTGCAAAGCTTTTTCCTCAAGAAAGCGCAACATGAAAAAGCTTTTATAGTTTTATAGCTGCACTTGCGCCTTCAAGTCTTTCACTGTTCGATGTCATCGGACTGCAAGTGTAAACAAAGTGCATTGATCTCATTCTGGGTATACCAAGTCGATGAAGCATGACTACTCGAGTAAAAAAGTATTTGTGTGGGATACAAATGGTTATTTGTAGGGGTGCTTCGTCGACTTCAAGAATAGAAGACTTGCCTGTGTGATATACTAAAATATATAAAATTTATTAAAGATTTTAATAAGGAAAAAGATAATTAAAAATGTTATTTGGATTAAAAAAACAAAATTGATCTCAATCAATGCTAGCAATAGTTTCCTGTTAATTTTTCTCGGAAGGATTATACTGCGCACAAATATACATCGCGTAAATTGAAGAAAAACAATCTTTCGATGATTTCATGCAATTATACGTGAAATGTATAACGACACAAATTGCGAAAAATGTGAGACATGCTGCTAGATACTGCGATGAGACAATATGATTGTGTTATAAGCACGAATTAAAAGAGAATTTCTCTCTAATGTGATAAAAAAATTTATAGATGGTAAAAAACAGTAATTTTGAAATATTTTGTATTTTAGTAATTAAATTTAAAATTAAAATTTTATTAGCTACTTGAAAATATAATATTATATTTACGTTTTCTAATTTTGTAGAAATATTTAAATTTCATCAAATTAAAAATAAAAAATAAAATAGATTAATATATTTTTGGCTAAAGAGGGATGAATGTTCTAGTTCTAAATAAGAAATCAATAAGTAGTATATATATAGTATAAGTATAAAAAGTATGAGAAAGACATTTTATCAAATATAAAAAGAGTTTATATATTGTAATACATATTGTAAAAAATGTGTGTATTAATAAAGTCTAAATTTTAAAATTTATATATGTCTCACATAATTGCCATGTAAAATAATATTTTCTCTAAATATGGTGTCTGTGATGCGTGCATCAACAATTAAACGATGTCCTTAACGGAAAGGCGTGATTTCTCGTTTAAGGTAGTCATGTCCGTAATTTCCGCGTTTTGTGCAGCACCGTCCGTAGGCGAGATGTAGATAGCGTGCACCCCGCGCGAAAATATAGATATATACATCTGTACGTACGCTGTGACGTAAGAGAGATTCTCTCTCCGTTTTCATCCCCTACTGAAATGAGATGCAGTGGTATAGGTATAGCATTTCAGCAACGGTTCATCCGAAGGGATTCGGAATGAGGACCTTCCGAGGCAGCTTAACCACGGCGTATATTCTATAGATCTCAGAGGTGCAAATTTCTGACCTTATGGCTCGCTAGTTATTAATTATTTAAATAGTTTCCGCGCGAACGCGTGCAATTGAGGCGCATCGGAGCATTAATAATTAAGAGAGTAATAAAACTGACAGAATGTATTAATTTCTTGTATAAAACATTTTACTTGTTAAAAAATATACATATATAATTTATTTGTGAAAAATAGAAATGTTTCGTGAATAACTTCTTCTTTCATATTACATAATATTTCGTATTACATAACATGTTTCGAGAATCTCTCTCTCTCTCTCTCTCTCTCTCTCTCTCTCTCTCTCTCTCGATATTTTGAATAGACTGAATAGTTTTGAGGTTTATAAGGGAAAAATCAATATTTGCACATGAATTATCTCGTCATAGTATAAGAAGAATCAATATTTGCGCTTAAATTATTATGTCATACGCTAAATTTTCTTTTTTTTGATCTATCTAACTTTAATACAATTTTTTTAATTGCATACAAGAATGTAAATATAAAAAATAAAGAAATGAAAATGGATCTATAAAGAGATCTCTAATATAAAATACTGTAACCTAATTGCTTTGATAATATCGCACGTGGAATATTGCACGTGGAAATCGTGAAAATCATAATTCAAATTATATTCCTGCTCTGTGAGATAACAGGGTACAAAATACTGAATAACTCAGGTATGCGCTTACATTAGCAATCCTTCTGGCTTGACTACTGGAACTCTGCCATCATTTACACTACATTGTCTCTACATTATTGGAGAAGTTCCAAAAATAATAACTTTGTAGAATAACAATTTAAGGTTTATATTTACTATTACAATATTGTTCGTTATAAAATCGCAATTTTGAAAAAGAATCCTCGTATATATACAAGAAATTTAATAAAAATAATTAGAAAATAAAATATGTATATATATCATTATTTTATACATTTTATGCAAAACTCTGTATATTATTTATTTCATTTTAAAGTACTTTATTTAATAATTCTTCAAAATTGTAGACAATTTATTATTTCTTCGCATCGTACAGTTATACTATAACTTAATTGGTTACATTAATTGAACAATAATAAAAATTTCTTATTATTTAGATAAAAAATAAGAATGGAAATTGAGCAATTAAGTGTCTAATGTTATATAAAATTTTGTAAAAGAGATCGCAAATATTTCATCTTTTTCTATAAAAACTATTCCTATAAAAACCTAGTTCTTGCATACTCGAAATTTACTGACGTTTAACGACAGTATATCCCGATGAGAGCTTTAAAGTTTTGCGGTTGACATAGATGGATGTCCTTCTTCACGCCTACACTAGATACCTTCGACTCCGGTCAAAGTAATCGCACATACTTTATCTTGTCGAGGAATTTTTAGTCATTACACGTTTTCGTGTATGCGAGATTAATAGCGCATCCTTTGCACGGCGAATAATTTACTGCGTGGTTTTCGTTACACGTGTCCGGAGAAACCGATTCTTACCACATCAATTGACTTTAACCGTAGTTTAATTGTTTCTCTGTCCCCTTTCTGACAAACAAGAGAGACAATCAAACTACGACTGAAATTAACTGACGTCAGTTACTCTTTACAAAGTATACAAAATTTGATGGAATATGTGCGTCATAACGAGTACTATCGTTAAATTATCGAAATAATAGACCGGATATCTAGAACTATATTTTTTCTTTCATATATTATATAAATTATATTCTATGTAAAAAATAGCTATAAATTATCACTTTTTATTTTTCCATAGTAATATATATAGTTTATTAAAAAACATAACAAAGGAAAAAGTAATACTTGAGAACTTTACACAAAGAAAAAGGAATCGATGCCCTCTCTTCCATTAGAAATATCGCGCGATCGCGATTCTTATTGTAACAATTTGTAAAATTTTCAACACAGAAACATACAAATGATCTATATAAGGAATCGTCGTTAACTGTTGCAATATGCATAAATTTATTTTCTCGAGTAAAGTCGAGGTTCCATCTAAATAATTTAAAAATCGATTTAAAAAAGAATAGACACCTACATGAAGTTAAGGCGACACATGCCGATTAAAAAGAGAATCAATAAACGAAATTACACACGTGTCATGTCAATAAATAATCGAGAATAAAATTAAATTTTGCAAAAACTGCACGTATACCAAGACTTGAAACTTTCATTCATTCCTAAGTCTTAATTCTTAGTTTAAGCATAATATGAATTGACGATATATGTGACATAAATTTAACGATCTCATTGGTTATGTATATGTCTTTGTTTATAGCATCCCGTCTTTTAAGACGAAAAATACCATGTACAGGCCATTTAATGACCCCCCGCCGCCTATGGATACAAAAGGTTCCTACTCAGGTATGTACTTAAAGTATTTCTAAATTAAGTAGAAAGTTATTTTTATGGATATAAAAGATAAGGAAGGATAAAACTGTTAAATATTCGCTCAACGTCGTGGATAATTCGATTTCGCGAATGGAAGTCTCAACGAAAATTCGTATCTTTCAGTCGACATCACACCAGCAATGTAAAACTTCATAACTTGTTGGTTGAAAGTAATGCTTAGATTAAATAACTTAATAAAGGTGTTCTTGTGAATATTATGGAACTTGACTTGAAATATTATTTGACATCAAATTTAGCGAAATATTAGTTAGCAAACGCTTTGCTGCATATAATACTTTAATTATTTCAGAAATTTCCAAATTAGACTCGAAATATATATCATGTCAATGTCACAGTAATTTTGATGTAACAAGAATGTTTATACAGATCAATTATTTAAAACGTTAAAAGAACGAGATGTACGCTACGTTTCATCGATCATTCTATATGAGTTTAATACGTGAATACTTTATACTGAAAGACAATGTTAGTTCTGGTAAAGCAATATCGTTTGTCTAATACCCTTTTAACACTTGACTGCCGTGGTCACAGCAATAATGTTAGTGTCTGTGTGATGCCATTAGCGATAGGTATGTCTATTTCTTCCTCGTGTACGTGACTATCTTCATCAATCATTCTATACAGCGTGGTTGGACAATATCACTGTGACAATCTAATCTGATAAAAGAAACACATTGATACATGATTAATAAAAATACTAAGCCTGAATTTTATTCTTCAATTTATTTCCTTTGAATTGGATCATCGAATTAAACACTCTGTAATAATATCGATCATATACATTAACCAAGCTATTAGCGGATACCGAATAACTTTACGTGTATTGCGATGTTTACTCTTCCAAGCTATAACATTGTTGATTCTACCATTTTGTTTGTTCTTCTACTAGTCCGTCTTAAATTGCGGATTCGATTTTTGTCGTGTTAGCACGATGTGAAGTGAATTTATCTTGAATATGTTAGTTTATGAAATATTACTTATAACGATTTTAACCATCTAGTAAACGAGAATGAATTAAAATAAATTGAAATTTTATTTATTCAAATGCGTATTTTAAATATCAAAAACTTTTTTTCGAATTCAATTGGATTCAATTAGATTCAATTGAATGCAATTGGATTGAAAAACTGTATTTTCTATTCAGCATTTTGAATTGAGCAAATTTATAGAAAAAAAAAGAGAAAGGAAGAAAAGAAATTATTGGTACAATATTATTAAAATGTATTTTAATAAAGAGTAAATCGAGAATAATGATATAAGTATTTTCTTGTGTGTAATGCAGGATTAATCAGTATATATGTAGGATTATTTAGTTATATAACATGTATGTATATTTAACTATTTTTTCCCTAAATATAATGTCGATTTTATTTTACTCGCAATGGTCTCTACATCTAATCTTAACGCTCGAGGATCAGGATAAGTTGGCTGAAATCCAGCTGGTATAGCGTTTGGTATTGCCAATTTGCGCGTACAACGATACTCCGATAATACTGCTGACCTAGTAATGCACGTAACTACTTGATCACAGCATTAAACTTACGAGTGTTTTTTTCGGTCGTGTTGTGGAAATCACCAATATTTCACGAAACAACATGTAAGACCAATGAACTATTCCTCGGGGAGCGTATTAAATAGATTTGTAGTAGTTGAATAAACTTGATATGCTCTTTCAAAACTTTTTTCTTTACAATCTTTAACAATTACTAATATAGATGTAGAATAAAAATTACTTTTTAAATTTGTACGAATTATTTTTATAAAATGTCGTATTTGTTTTTAATTTATTATTATATATTCGCATTAAAAATATATCGATACATATCCATATGTATATAGATCTGTCTATATGTAGGTAGATAAAAAGATTATATTGAAAAGTAGACGTTGTAAATTCGATCACATTTTCTGTCACGTAAACTACACAAGAAGCTCAATAATTTGACTTTTTTAGGAATGCGACGTAGTCATGATGTTCCCTAACGGGGCAAACGACGAGACCTTGATGTGGCTTTTAGGTCGGCTCCGGGCTGGAACCCCGGGGCTAGTAGTTCACGTGCGACATCATGCCTCGTCGGACAGTTACGGGTTTTACATCACGGCACCATTTAACGTGTAAATATCCTCAATAGAGTAAAAAAACATACTTTGAGAAATCAAGTGTACAACGCACGATTAAGAACAGCCGCATAGATATAACTTTATCGGCTCACAGTCTGCTCAAGGCCGCCGAGGAGGTGCATCTTCCAAAGTCCCTTAGGCAGGAGTTCGGTGGAGGATTCAAGGAGTTCGTCGGCTCCGAGGCCAACTGCTTCGAGGGTAGCGACGACGAGGTCCGATTCTTCACTACCCAGGAAAGGCAGTCCCTAGTACTGCACTTACTAAACACTCTGAGGGCCGGTCCTCAAGATCTCCATAGTCTAGCCGGTCTTAAGATGGTGGAGGGTCAAGCAATTATCCCAAAGTGCATTTCATCTGGTATTATTTCTCAGGTATGATACATGTATATTAGTTTTGCCATACCAGGTTCACATCTCCTTCGATGAAATAAGATTCCTTGAATCTCGTCTCATCAAAAGGAAGATACTGTGACACGATATGTGCTTTCGTTAGGTCTTCCCTCTTCACGAATTACCCGCGTTAGAGAAACTGCAACGGAGCTGGGTCCGCGCGTTCCTCAGCCCCCAACCATTGGACGATATTTGTAAATATTTCGGGGTGAAAATCACCATGTACTTTGCCTGGCTCGGCCACTACACTACCGCTTTGATCGTTCCAGCTGCAGTGGGTGTCATATATTGGGTATGTATATATATATATATATCTCACGTATATCGTTATGATTTAAATAACGATTAAAAGTATGTAATCCCGTTTATTCAATAAACGAAATAAAACAAAACGTAAATTCAGATTTAAAATAAACTAATTTCCAGACAACGGAATGATGTGAAATTCAAGCAAAAACAAGTAAATTAAAATAAAAATAGTTTTGTAGCTTTAAAAAAATAAATCAAACATAAGTAAATTGTCTATGTAAGCCCCCGCGGTTATTAATGCCTAAATAATAACATTTAATCATGTAATGGATTTATAAGACGATAAGATATAATTCGCAAATGGAATGTATTTACAATGAAGTTAACTGCAAACGTTTCAACTTTGGATTTGAGTAGAATTGCATAGCAGTTTATATTTGATTTTTGCATTAAAGAGGACTCAAATTCAGAATAAAAACGTTTGCAGTTAACTTCTTTGGAAGTACATTCTTGCAAATTATATCTTATCGCCTTATAAATATATTATTTACGTACTAATAAACCGCGAAGGTTCATAGAGGCAATTTACTTATATTAAAAAATAAGTAACAATCAGATCTCGTCTGTTTAGGTCGGCATCATTGGCAGGAACCAAGCGGTGGAGGACGTGGCGTACGTTCTGTTTTCGGTGTTCAACGTGATATGGGCTACCGTATACCTGGAGACATGGAAAAGAAGGGGCGCGGAATTGGCGTACAGGTGGGGCACTTTGGATCAGAGGGACGATTTATTGGTCGAGCCTAGACCTCTGTTTACAGTAAGAACCTTTCGAACATTTTTAAGCCTTAGCACTCTGATGATCGGCATGGATGCCGTAGTGCTACTCCAGCGTCTACACCTGCACAGCGCTATGAGACTAGAACATGCTTTTGCTACGCCGTACAATTGAAAATATAGGCAATACTGCGAGGAATTTTTGACAAATAAAAATCCATTTGTAAAACCTGTTCGAAATTTGATCAGTTCAATTAATTCAGCCGTAACTGTGTTTAGGGAACACTAGAGGTTTCACCAGTGACGGGTAGGCTGGAACCGACGTATCCCAGGTGGCGAAGAAATATGTTTCGATATTTCGTGAGCGTGCCTATCATTGCAATCTGTTTACTCTTCGTCTTCATCGTTATGATTCTGAGTTTTCAGATACAGGTACGTATAAGTGCATTGAATAGTTATTAATAATTAATCGTAAAAAGATTTTAATTGATTATCGAATTAGGGAAATGATTATATTAAAATTTTTAAAAGACTTATTACATAATAGGATTACGTAAAAAGATTTTTATTATTTGAAAATAGAAAAGCGACAAATGTACTGATTTAAATTGTTATTTAAATTGTAAAATTTATAAATCCAAATATGTACTTTTCTGTCACTTGGGCTTAAATTATATATATGTATTATACATTTTATATTTAATTTATTTATATATTTAAAAAAAGAAAGCTGAAGATTGATATAAAATTTATGCTATAAACTTTTCGACTTGTTTGACTTACAGGATTGGTGGGACGCACATCTCGAATCAGGAGGCTATGGATTCTGGCTAAGCTACGTGCCAAAGGTGTTGCTGGCAATAGTGATTGCGTTAATGGATGAAGCGTACTTCAAAGTCGCGGTGTGGTTAAACGATTTGGGTATGTGTCCCAATGATAATCGAACTCCTATACTTTACACTATTTTCCTCCATCTTTCTTTTCCTCCCTCCTTTTCTCTCTCTCTCTCTCTCTCTCTCTCTCTCTCTCTCTCTCTCTCTCTCTTTTGACATAATCGTATCTCCGTGCGACTCAAAATACGAACAATTGCCATTTGCCGACTTTTTCGCATCGATATATGTATTCTACGGTACACTATGCACGTCTAGTTCAAAAGCATAGCATATACTTTCGATAATTTTTCCACAGCTTAGCTTCTTCTAGAGAACAATTAAAAGATTATGTAACGAAAACATCATACATTTATATGAAAGATTGTTGTTCTGTTTTTTTTTATGTGATTAAACTCGTGACATATTATAGATACAGTTTCGTTATCATTTAAATTGTGGAGAGCGTCCATGGTACGGTAGATAGTATTTGTGATTTTTGTGTGTTGGACGCAGAAAACTATCGACTAGACACCGAGTACGAGAATCATCTGATCTACAAAGTGGCACTGGTAATAAGAAGAACTCTCCATTTTCAACGAATAGAATATCAATGTTGTGTTAAACGTACACATGTCCTCCTCTAATTAATGATACGATAAAGAATATTAAATAAATACTAAAGATTTATCAATTTTCCTCTTGTCATCACAAATATATTTTTCGGCAGTATTCAATAAAATCGAATTGAAAAACGTTATTAATTAGCTATCTATGATAGATAACATTATGTAATTATAGATATTATAATTTTTATATAAATCTCTTGATGACCTATTATTTTAATTATTTTCTAGTTAATTATTTAATCAAGAATTAATTTTGCATTTATTCTTGAAATCAATTATAAATATATATATATAT